CTTAATTTGGGAATAATATACTCAATGTGTTTCTTCCAATTTAAGGTATTGTCAACTTGTAAGCCAAGGAATTTGTTTGTTTCAACTTCCACAATTATTTTTTCTTCAAAACCTATATTTAACCTAGGATATGTCTTGTGCTTAGTAACAAATTTTATGAAGATTGTTTTTTTTCAAAATTTAGTGCGTTTGTTAGCTCTAAACCATTTGTTTATGTTGGCATTTCTGTTGAGAGATTTTTTCTAAATCCAAATTGCTCCTCGACAAGGATGTTGTTTGAGTTTAAGAAATTATTTACTCTCTTGCATATAACTTTCTCAAAAATTTTAGAAAATGTTGTCAGCAGTGAAACAAGTCTGTAGTTAGAGATGCAGGATTTTTCACCCTTTTTATATAGTGGTTTTACTTTTGAATATTTAAGTCTTTCAGGAAACATTCCTACAGCCATTGAATGATTACAGATTAATAAAATACTTATATAATCTATGCAAGATTTAAGTACTTTAGATGAAATTCCATCATAACCACATGAATTTTTTGACTTGAGAGAAGTTATTATACTTTTAATTTCATTTGGTGTGGTAGGAATAAGATTAATATTTGGAAATGAATTAGGAATTGCCTTAGCCAAAAACTTCATTACATCTTCGGTTTTTGGAGTTATGGTATCACTGCTGTTCATTCTTTCTTTTATTTTTTTATTTAGTGTTCTGTCTGACGACAGGTCCATATGAACAGGATCCTTCCATCCTTTTCTCGGACTGGGACCTGTTCATATACGTTCTTGGCAGATGATCCAGAAGTGGTTTGCCATTGCCTTCTTCTGTGTGTGAATGGAGTAATTGTTGGGATGCCACGGAGAAACAGGGGAAGCCCCCGGAGGAAAACTCCGTGTTGCCTAGACCACGGCCTTGCTCAACACAAGTTATAAATTCGGGCACCGCCGGGAATCGAACCCGAGACCCCAGGATTACAAGGCCAGCTTTCTAACCGCTAGACCACCGTGGCACCTTCATTCTTTCTACAATCATTAAAAAGTAGGTATTAAAATAGTTAGCTAGAAGTTTAGGATCATTTACTCTGTTATTATTTATCATTAATGGTGGGCTTTCAATGTCTGTAGATTGTTTGCCAGTTTCCTTTTTTACAATTTTCCAAACAGTTTTTACTTTATTTTCAGACTCTACTATCAATTTATTGTAATGCATGCGTTTAGCTTCTTTAATGACTTGAAATAAAATTTTGCAATATTTTCTATAGTGTTGCTTCAGTAGTGGGTTATTACTGGACCTGATACTTAGGTAAAGAGCTCGCTTACATTTGCATGATGTTTTGATTCCTTTAGTTAACTATACATTGGTTTCAGACAATTTTTTCTCTGTTTTAGTAGGAAAACTTTTTTCAAATATGCTTAGAAACCAACATGAGTACGCCCTTGGCAAATTAAAAAGACCAAACTAAAACAAAGTTCATACTAAACAGCAAACTTGTCACTTACTCCCTTTCTTCCAGCCATTCATGGATAGAATTCATATTAATATTTTTGGATTGTAGTGTCTTGCACTATAATACTGTGTAGTCCCAGGATGCTAACAGCAGCAAAAATCCCAACATGTCTATAAAAAATGGAACCCACCAGCTTGTTTATCTCACACAAAAGTATCCAATTTCGATTAGGTTTTGTATGGTTAATAGTAACATGCAACTTTAAACAAGGTAACCTACTCACATTAATCAATATTTGCAGTATGAAAGCCTTGAAATCATCCACAAAGTACTACAGATAATACTAGCCCAGTGTTTAAAAATTCAGCAGCTAAAGTGAAGACAGTGATTCTGAGATCAACATTACAGAAAAATGGATAATGACAAAGTTGATACAAACACCCCTAAGTACCATAAATTAAATGTAAGAAATAAAAATATAAATTCTAACTAGTGCTGTAAGAACGTTATATGCTTGTGGAATACTGAGAAAAAAACATTACAAAAACTATGAACAAATTCTAAGGAAAAACATAATTCTGTTCATGCTACATAAGCAAAAGAACAAAAGAAAAGACCCTTAAATTGAATACGTACACAAACAACAATATCTAGCAAACCGAATTACATATTACCCACTTATAAGCAACCTTTAATTGAAATTGATGTAACAAATTATTTAAGGGATATCCTAGTGTCACAATCCACGTTACGAAGTTTAATTTCTTAACATAAGGGTGTGTCCTATTTAAACAGTGCTTTCTCGCATAACAAGAGCTGCAGAAAGGGACAAAAATAAAAATATCAAAAATGGTAATCGGTCCAGTGTATCGACCCATTTTTGCCCTTTAATCTTACACTAATGGCAACATTTGGACTTACAATCCACATACTTCAATTTATAACTTTACCTGAAATCTTCGGTCCTGTAGGCGGTTAAAAAGTTGTGGACACTATAGAACACAATATCGTTCAAACCACTACAATGTTTGCCAGAATATAAAACATAACCACTGTACCTGCCATTCGCAACAACGCTATTATGTGCTAGAACACCGAAAGTATTCACAAATGACGCGATACACTACACCACACACATACTCTCAGCTACAGCATATAAACGATACATAATCAGTATTGCCAAACCAGTGATCCACATTCTAGCACAAGTTTCCCTTTTCAGTTCGTTCTACCCGTCAGAGGACATTCACATATTGTTTGTCCTATGAACGTTTATTGTGGGTATAAACTGTGACTAGATACGAAAATAGGCCACAGATTAATACCAACATGGAATGTTTTTTTGACTGAGTTGTATGGGAAAGTTAAGCGTGTTTTGATGTGTAAAGTAAGTGGTCTGTGTTATTACTTTTCATTTTAATATGAATTTTCCTGTGAAATATGCTGTCAGATCTTATACATACTCGCTGTTAATTTAAAGTCTGGATAAGTAGATTATGCTTCTGCAACCATAACCTATACTCTGTAATGACTTTACAGTACTGTTCCTACTTGTGTCTAAAATTTGGCTTTATGTATCGTTATTAGCCGAGGCTTAACTATTCTAATTATTTGCATTGCATTATATGCATGGACAAGGAGATGTTGCATCCTGTGGTCAGAAGTGTACCGATGTTTCAGAGGTGCTTACCGACTCCATCATGAAGTTACATTTTTATAAATGGGAGCACAGCAATGGGAGTGACATTGGCAGCACCTAGAACCCGTCCAGAAAATAGCCGCTAAACAAATAATATTATATTTGTTATCTTTTGGTTAGGTTAGTTTAAAGTAATATACTATAGTTCATTTGGCAGGCTGTGGTGGGTTTTTGGCTGATCCATCCTCACTCATGACTATGGTAACTGCCCAAAAATACACTCATGTTTTTTATATTAGATAATAACATTTGAAGTTAACATATGTTTTTCTTTTTCTTAGGAGATTAATCATGGAAAACAAAAAGGATGCTAGAAAGTTGCCAGCCCTAATTGCAAGCATAAAGATTGAACCAGGAACTTTAGGAGCAGCCCCGGGGCGTCTCCCATCATTTGGTGGACGTCGGGATCTTACTCTTGGATCATGTGGCCCAAGCAGAATAACCCATAGTTCTGAATCAAAACCCAGAAGAATATACACACCAAATCTCAATGTTCAGAGAAACAAAAACAAAGTGTATGTATCAGTCTGTATTTTGTAAATATGTAAATGCTCTAAATAAAGTATTATTAATTTGATTAATCATCAAAATACAGTAGCACTTTAGTTGATGATTAAACAAATATATGGTTTGTCATGTCCTCACTTTTCAGAATTTGTATTAGTTTTGTTTTGGATAATTTTGTGATATTCCATAATATGTTTTGTTGTAGAAACACTTTTAATGTTTATAATTATCTGTTTTAAGACTTCATACTTTACCCATGATACATTCAAAACCCCAAAATAATAAACTTTTTTAAGATTGTAGTGTACTTGTGAAGCAAGAATATGCATAAAGATTCTGTCTTCTGGGTTGTTGCGCTGTGTAGACTGGTCGATGTTAACCAACATTTCAGAGGTCATGCTGCCTCCGTCATCAGGGCGATGAGTATGAAGATTTCTGTCTTCTGGGTTGTTGCGCTGTGTAGACTGGTCGATGTTAACCAACATTTCAGAGGTCATGCTGCCTCCGTCATCAGGGCGATGAGTATGAAGATTTCTGTCTTCTGGGTTGTTGCGCTGTGTAGACTGGTCGATGTTAACCAACATTTCAGAGGTCATGCTGCCTCCGTCATCAGGGCGATGAGTATGAAGATTTCTGTCTTCTGGGTTGTTGCGCTGTGTAGACTGGTCGATGTTAACCAACATTTCAGAGGTCATGCTGCCTCCGTCATCAGGGCGATGAGTATGAAGATTTCTGTCTTCTGGGTTGTTGCGCTGTGTAGACTGGTCGATGTTAACCAACATTTCAGAGGTCATGCTGCCTCCGTCATCAGGGCGATGAGTATGAAGATTTCTGTCTTCTGGGTTGTTGCGCTGTGTAGACTGGTCGATGTTAACCAACATTTCAGAGGTCATGCTGCCTCCGTCATCAGGGCGATTTTCATCGTCCTGATGACGGAGGCAGTATTAATACTACTAGTACAAATTTGCTTCACAGTTGCTTGTAAGTTGTACATGTAAGGACATTTCTTTCATGCTTCTGCTTTTCCAGTTGAAGCAGAATTCACACAGGAACTGCATGTGGTTCCAAATGTGGGGTGTAATAATATGGACTTTTAGTCAGAACAAGAAAGTTCATAATAGCATATATTGTTTGTTCCAGGGACATAAACATTAAGGAAGAACATCCAAACAGCAAAGAGAAGCGAGAAAGGCGAAAGGATGATGGGAAAGGTAGAAAGAGAGACAAATTAAATAACTTAATACAGGTACAGGTATTTTAAATTTAAGCATAGTAACTAAAAAAAATTAAAGTAATTAAGGTTATATGGGACAGACCAAACTGTGATAAATCATTACAATAACTATTTGTTTTACTATTCCATCAATTCAGGAATGCTGAAAATGTTGAGATTATTGTCTAATGATAAGTGGGTTGTTTACAGTTTTTCACTAATAATTTATTAGGGATCCTCTAAGAATGTAAGAAACTTAATATGCAGTGCTTTCTTCAAGTGTTATTTTGATGAGGTTTGATCAGACAGTAATGTACCAAGATATTTTAATGCTATAGGTACCTCCCAGGTAAAGTGAGTATACTTTTGTAATAATATGTATGCTTTTTCTGAAAGCTATGTGTGTGTGTTTTTAGAAGACCACTTGAAGAGTATTTAAAAGCTATAGTGACAATTTTGAGTGCCATAGCAACCTGTTACCAAGGATCTGTGAACTTTTGTTAAAAGGTGCTAATTCTGTAATGTTGATTTCTTTCTTGTTGACAGTCAAATGGTGTATTTGCTGAAGGAATAGCAGGTACCATAAAGAAGAGATTTGGAGGAGTAGCTGGTGAACAAGATTCAACTAAAAACTTCATACCAAAGCCTAAACTTAACTTACAGGTGAATCAGTTTGAATTTTAGTAACCCCAATACTTTTTTTCAAAAATGTTCAAAAAATATTTTCTTCTTAAATATGGCTGTTTCATATTTCCTTAGCTAATGTATCAATGGTTATATGTAATCTTAACGAAAGTACTTTAGAGAAGAAATTTTAATAGGTTGTAATGGTGTGTAAAGATCTTATGGATTAAATAAATGAATGATATGAAAATAAGGCAGAAGACTGGGCATGGAAGTTACAGAATTTAATAATCATGATATAAAAATGGAGAGCTTTAATGACAAGAATAGCACTTGACTTGTGGGGGGGGGGGGTTTGAGAAAGTTCACAGGGCTTCTCTTTGAGGGGGCATGTTTACCTAAAAGGTCATGTAACAAGTAAAATACTGTATCTTAATTTTATTAATATAAAATTATGGTATGTATCTATATTACAAGGCTTATTTATATTATTATATGAAGCAGAATGTTTATGTTGAAGAGAAGTTATATTTTAATTGATAATATTGGAAACTTGACATGTCTGTCTGTCCATGTGTGATAATTTTAGAATGGCTCAATAGAGTTTCATAAAATTTGATATTGATTTGTTGGTATTTCAGTTTTGGTTAAAATCAGACATTAAGCACTTTATGTGAAGACTCACATGTGTTCCTATGACTGGATGAAGAATCCCCAAGTATGTTAAATTGATTATCATGGTTGCCTGGGGAATCCTCAGTCCACCTAGACAACTCTAATGTCATTGACACCATTTGTAAAGGTTAGATGTCAAATTTCAAAATTGTTATGCTATGCATATATTTTCTAAGTGTTGTCTTCACTGCTATGGTGCCCAAACCAACTCCTGTTTTGTGGCTTCCAGCTCGTTCTTTGGGGTAAAACACCCAATACATGAAGCTGACCACTCCACCTAATACTGTAGTCTAAAATGTGTGAAGTTTTACCTCCACGTATTCATTTCATGACATTGCACTTTGGCTCAGGCACACTTTACTGTTACGTGTGAGTCACTGTTAATTGTTGCATGAGTCCCAGAGCAAAAGTTTACAGTGAGAACTGTAGATTCAAGTAAAAGTACTATGTGTATGAATATGGACACTAATGTAACTGATGCTGTTTTATTAATTTAGCATAACCTGAAGGTAGACAAAGAAGAGGAGGAGATGAAACTGAGAGTGCTCCTTCAGGATGATTTTGTTGATGATCCTAGCATGGACCCGGATGCAGACTATGCTCCTGTGAAGCTGCCAATGTTGACATTAGGTTGTACATTTAGTACATATGAGTATGAGGTAGTAGTCATTTGTCTCTGTTTCCTCCTTCCTACTTCTGAGACTGTTTACGAAACACAGAATATGTATAATGTAGAACCACCTGGATATTCTAGGTATAATGTAGTCACCTGTCAGCACAAAAGAGTGTGTGTGATAGTTGGATAAATTGAATTTAAATGGTTAATATGTGTTAGTGTCAAGAACATTTGTGCTGCATTAACTGTATTTCTCTTGATTATTTTTGTTACAGCTAATCTAAAAATTGAGCTAAAGGAAGAAGTCAAACCCAAATTAATTGGGACAGAAGAGGAAGGTGGGGGAATTAAAAGTAGGTTATGCTTAACATGGATTTTGTATCACTATCATTACTTCTCTCAGCTTGGCATCACATATGGTTAATTTAAAATGTTTTGTGAATGATGTTCTGGAAAAGTTAAAGTTAAATATGAAATTTTGTATATTAGACAGTCCTGAATGACCTTGAATAATTAACCAATATGTAACATTGCGGGTGTATTACACTTACATTTATTGCCTCTGTTTGAATTATAGGGTAAGATTACACTTATAGAAAGAAGTGAATGATTGAAATTCAGATCACATTTAAGACAAAGTTTGAGTTACACAATTGGTTGTATGTACACCCACAGGCAGATCAAAGGCTTAGAAAAATAAAAGTTATGGGACTGGTTTTGTTTTCCTCCATACTGTAAACACAGTCAGCACTACATGTACATTGATTAATAATGAGACATAGTTAAACTGGGAAATTATATCTGAGATCTTGTTCATTTTTTAATGTATGATGAAGTGAAACTTGCTATGTTTACCTCTGTGTTGTGCCTGACAGTAAAATATGTAAATAATTTCAGTCATCGTATAATTTTTACTTACCATAGCTCTGTATTAAATGAAATGTATGTATCATTTATGTTATTACAGTTAAGCAAGAGATAGTAGAGGAGGGTGAAAAGGATGTTAAACCTAAAGTAGAAAATGGTAAAATCAAGCATGATAAAGAACCAGAAATTACAAAGATGAAGAAACCAGAACTGATAACTGTCCAACACTTGTTACAAAGTAAAGAACGTGAACTCATTTTCATGCAGGTATGTTTGTAGAAGCTGATATAATTTTTCATTAACAAATAGGCTTACTACATTTTTGTTTGGCTAAATAAGTTATACATTTTTCCTTATACAGATGCCAGATTGTTTGCCTGGCTTGAAACCTGAAACCAACGTGGGACAAGCAAGGCCTTCAACTTCTGCAAAACAGTCAACATCAGTTGTGTCACAGTCTCTTCCGAGTGATGAAACACAGGTCTTGAAAAAAACTGAAGGATAATTCAGTTTAAGAATTGCATGCTTTACCATAAAATGGAACTCCACAATGAAGTAACTCTTTCATTACATAATTTTTGTTAGCACAACATGTCCTATGGTATAAATAAATTTGAAAATATTTTTAAAATTTAATTCAATTTTTATACATTTTACTATCCTTACAGTCACCCTAAGGTTCAGAATCTGCAGACAAATTACTAATGTTGTCTTCTGCAATCTGTTTATGTCTCAAAGAAACATTGCTTCCATTTAACATGCTATCTACAAGTTTATACAACTTGAAAAACAAAGCCATATCTTGTGATATCTTACAGCAAGAATTATATTTCATACAGATGAAACTTTCTGCATATTTTCAACAGATCCCCTACCCTTCCAGGAAAAAAGATGACTGCATAAGTGCAAGATCTGCAGGTTTGCAAAGTTTTAACCTGCAATAAAGCCAATTCCACATACACTAGCTGCCAGCACTACGTTTATTGTGAGCTCCACAAAAAAGAGTTAAAACTGTTTGACTGTTGTTTCATAGATTTGAATATTTAAGTATTTTTCCTTGTTATGAACTCCTGTAAACAGTATGATGTAACAAAAAGTTTTATGAAGAATTTACAATGCCTGCTTTCCTTTAAATACTTCCATCTATGTAGAAGGACTAACCAAAATTACAAACTAATATTTTTGTTTCTTAATTATATATTTTTTTATTCTATTAAGACAAAGCTCATCTAAATAATAATTAATTCTGTACCACAAAGAGAAAACAGCACTTCACTATTAATCTAGATAAACTGGTTGATGCTGTTTAAGGAAATAAATCCTTGTTTATATTGAGAATCATACAAAAGCTAAAGCAGGTGGGACATGCAATTACCACTGGGCTATAAGGGTTAGACATAGATATCTATTACTGTAGATTTACACTGCTTGAACTTTACCAGACAGTAACCTCAAAGTTCCTTATGGGTGATGTCTGTAATTTTTAATATGTTACATATGTTTATGATCTGCATAACAAATTTCTTGCAACAGTTGTTAGTTACAGCTATCAAAATGGAAGATGTCATGTGGCTGTAATGTTTTACTTTCCTTATTGTTTTTCATAAGATCCTAAATTTTTACAGTATTTGAAATGACTTGCTGTCTGTAGCCATGTCCTTGTAACATCACTTCTGACTGACTTGTTGAACCATATTTTTCTGTGGTTTCAGACTTCACCTAGCACAAAATACTGTACACTGTGTACCTTGTCAGAAGGCTGCATTGGAAAGTTGCAGCTGCTGAAATCAGGAAGAGCCAGACTGGTGTTAGGTAACACTGTGTTGCATGTGGATATGGGGACACAAGTTGGTTTCCGAGAGGTGAGTACAGAAGTGATTTTTGAATAAAAATGCTACAGTGAATCCTTTAGACATTTAATAGCATCAAACATCAAGAATAGACTGATTTGTATTTTTGGCTGTTGCTTCCAATTGTACCATCAGAATGAAGTCAGATATTTGATTTCTGGCCTACTTGCTGAACATAATATTTTCTCCCATTATTGCCTATGTTTCAGTCTTAACAGATATAGTCATTTCCAGTATTCTTCAAAAGACTGTGTACTTATATGTGCAGTGTATCCAGTTTGAATCTCAGTCATGATACTTGACAGGCTTTCTGTTGTCATGACATCTTTCCAGATCCTTATCTATTCAACATCACAACACACATGATCCTCTATCTCATTTTATGCCACATTTACTTCCAATGTTGAAACAGTGTCATTGAATCATTTTCTGTTAACACTTACGTTACCTCATGTTGTAGATACATTGAAATTGCAACATAACATTAACAATTAAAGAATATACATAAATTAAATGATAATTGTGTGTTTATTCCTTCCAGGATTTAATTTCTGTGAATTTAGACCAGTCAACACGTGGTGGAGATATGATCAATCTTGGACCTGTTAGAACACGCTTGGTTTGTTCACCAGATTGGGAAACAATGTTGACTAAACGTGTAGCATGAATTAAGATGAAATGTATAAATTACTTACACTTTGGATACTATATTTTTTTCTGTAATTGAAGAGTGCCATTCCAAGACTTTCCAAGTTCATTTTACAATGGAGATGGCTGTCTTTTGGGTTGTAGCGTCATTTAGTCGGGTAGATGTTTACCATCATTTTAGATGTTGGTAAACATCTACCAGACTATGGTGATACGACCCAGAAGACAACCATCTTCATACTCACCACCATAAGAACCTCAAATCCTATTCATTTAATAGTAGTTTTGGACTTTTTAAGCAGAATTTAATAGGGAATGAGAACTATACAAAACTGAAAAATGTGAAAAATGAACTGAGTGTTTTTTTTAATATAACCTTTAATGTTTAACTATAAATTTAGTTTGATGCAACAGGAACTGAACAGTAGAATTTTATTCTAGTGTTCTTTTATACATTTGTCTTGTGCACATTATTTATTTGTTTTGTCCACAAAGAAAGTTCTGTATAGAAATATATTTTTAATTTCACATCAATTTTTTTGTGTTGTGATTTATTAAATACAGCAAGTCCTCATTATCTGCTAACTCTGAATCCATCATTACTCACATCCTTTGGTTACTATTGTTTCCATAATTGTTACTGTTCTGTCATAATAGATTTACAACTGATCAAATTTATATGTCTGCCTGATACTAGAGAAAAAATGGGACAGTACATCACCTATTTATAGACTTCAAGAAAGCCTATGATTCAGTTAAAAGAGAAGCTTTTTACAGCATTTAGCTTGAATTTGGTGTACCTAAGACATTAGTTAGGCTAATTAAAAAGTGTGTAAGTGAAATCTACAGCAAAATTCATGTAGGTAAGCATTTGTCCAATACATTTTGTATTCAGGATGGCCTGTAACGGAGATGCTCTATTGCTGTTGCTCTTCAATTTAGTATTAGAATATGCCATCAAGAAAGTCCAAGAAAATTGTTTGAGATTGTAGTACAGGAAATCATATTTTTTAATTAACCAACGAAAAGAAATAACTTTTTATTAGCATTACTTAATTTTTATATGCTGCTTTGTTACAGTTTTCAATAAAAACGTATTTTTTAATTAATACTTTAGAGTTCTTCAAAGGCAATTTTCAGGTACAAGTTGTAAAATTGGGGCCATATGCTGGAGTTTCAATTGTGTGAAATCGTTGGGTCAAAGATAACATAATGCGTAATTCTGAGCAAAGACCTACTACAAACAAAGAGGCTGTATTTTCATCATTGATTGACTACAACGAAGGTGACTGACCATGCTTGTTTGTACGCTCATCGCATTATGCAAAAGTAATACAAATGGTGAAGGAAAACAATTTGTTACATTTCCGGAAGTTGTTGAGATGAGAAATTATTGAATGTATTGATCACAACTGTTTCAATAAAAACGTATTTTTTAATTAATACTTTAGAGTTCTTCAAGGGCAATTTTCAGGTACAAGTTGTAAAATTGGGGTCATATGCTGGAGTTTCAATTGTGTGAAATCGTTGGGTCAAAGATAACGTAATGCGTAATTCTGAGCAAAGACCTACTACAAACAAAGAGGCTGTATTTTCATCATTGATTGACTACAACGAAGGTGACTGACCATGCTTGTTTGTACGCTCATCGCATTATGCAAAAGTAATACAAATGGTGAAGGAAAACAATTTGTTACATTTCCGGAAGTTGTTGAGATGAGAAATGATTGAATGTATTGATCATAACTGGAACGTTACCGGTTGTAGAGAGTTATGATGTAAGATTTACAATGAAATTACACATCATAATAAGAATCATCACTTGGAATTTCGTTCGTAAGAAATGAATAACAAACCTTACACCGATGATGATATACTCTATATGGACCTTGTGACCCAATTCTTAACGTGCTTCCGGAAGCAATGGTTGACTTGGCTTGCTGATAGACATGTGGTTTATAGTTTTTGTGAAAAAGATTGATATAGTAATGTAGGAATGACCTTCGCTTGGTGTCTGTTGAAGATTTGAATAAGGTTATATTCATTGACCCCTCTAGGTGGTGTGCTCTGCTCCTATAACAACGAAATTAATAACATTTCGGGCAAGTTATGGAGTTTGACAGATGAGCTCTTCTGTTTAACAGTTCATTATGGCAACTGTATCAGTACTCGATTGGACAGTGGATGATGTTGCCATTTGGCTGCGTGGGAATGGTCATGAACAGTACATAGATTTACTGTGTAAGACTCATCTTATTGATGGAAAGGCATTACTTCTGTTGAATGAAACAGACTTTCGAACAGACCCTCTCAATATTCAGGTAGACTCATACATCTTTTATTTGAACTCAAAACATTTACTGGAATTGCAGGTGTAAATGTTGTGTGCATGTTCTCTGTATTATACAGTTCTTCCTCATGATGATTGTTGTTCATGTAATTAGTCTTATTGCAAGGATAAGAAATGTAAGAATCTGTAAACTCATTATAGTTGTTGGATTTTAGGTGCTAGGCGATGTGAAACGACTGAGTTTGAGTCTTCGCCGTTTGCAATTTGAAAACCAACAAGCATTAATCAGTCTTGGCTATGATCCTGTCTCCATGCTCCATTTGTCAAACACTTCTTATCTAAATCCAAACTCTGTGATGATGCATTATTATGGTTCACAAAGAAATGAGGTTGGTTTTATTAAAAGTTACTGTGTTGTATCTATATTGAAGTAAGTAAAACAGCTTTTATCAAATTAGACTGACATATTACTGGAACCACTAATTTGAAAATACACAAAATATGTGTTTGAACATGACTGTCTTCTGGGATGTTGCACCATGTAGTTTGGTAGGCATTTACTGACATTTTAAAGGTGCTTATTGATATCCATCTTACAGTTAAAAAAGTGGACAGTTTTAAATTTAAATTTCACATCTTTACCATGCCAAATATTATATATTTACCACATAAAAAGTTTTTGAAATAAAATTTGTGAATCTTAATTAGGTCTTTAAAAATGTCATTTACCGCTTTTTTATAAAATGAACCAGTTTTGAGAAATTTCAATTTGGACTACATGCAAAGCAGGGCCTATAATCAGCTGATACACATTAAAATTAAATTCACCAAACAACTTTAGTGTGGACATCCAGTACCAAATTTAATTTATTTTCCATTACTTGTTCCTTTTACATTTCAAACAAGGAACACATGAAAATAGACACAAACACACAAGCCTTAACAATGATGATTATAACTTGTTCTTACATAGAAGTAATTAAAACTGTAATTTTTCAGGGAAGTGTGGACTCTTTGCTATACATGGATACAGAGCATCATCATTGCACTCCTCCATTATCAGAAGATGGTCGTGCTTCTAAACTTAGGCCAGAAATTTGGAAAGCTCTCATAAGTCTTGGATATCTTTTTGTAGTAACATGGATAACAGCATTTGTGATGGTGATTGTGCATGATCGTGTTCCTGACATGAAAAAATATCCACCGTTGCCAGACATTTTCTTGGATAATGTTCCCCACATACCATGGGCCTTCCATATGTGTGAACTGACAGGGACGTTACTCCTGTTCATTTGGCTTATAGTTCTTATGTTTCACAAACACAGGTTGGTTCCCTCTCAACAATGTTCTAGGTTTCATATGAAATTATTATAATAGGCTTTATATGGGATAGTATTAGCTCTCTCTGCTGTCTTCTTTATATAGCAGTACAATGTTTCCCAACCAGTGGTCCATGGCATATGAAATGAAAAGTATAGTTATATTTTACTGCTGCAAAAACTACTGTTTTACAATTACTGACTTTTCATTTTACTTTAGCAAGGAGTGTTTATGTTTTATATTATTAGTTCTTTTCTATTTTTCTTTTGTAGTACACCAAATTGTGCTGTACTATAATTCAATTAAAGTTAAAAAACAACAAGGATATGACACTACATATATTTCTTGTTATTTACTTTTGTTTTGTCACATGCTGAAAAGTCCTGCTTTAGCATTAAAAGTCCTACCAACTGTCTAATAGATCAAAGCAACGAAAGTTGGGACCCGCAGATGCTCAGGCACTGAAGAACGGTTCCCCTAAGTATTATACTATATATAGCCTCCTAGTAAGAAACAAAGGGAGAAATAAAAATTTATATTTATACATAAACCATTTTTATATATGCTTGTAAGGCTGGTAGGTTGTTATTTTTGTTTTCAAATGTGAAACAAAAAGTGTAGTAATGCTTAGAACACTATGTGCTGTTTTTCTGGTCTGTTAATCAGAAAAAGGTTGGAGATCACTGCATGATATTTTTTACCAGAAATTAGTCTGCCAAGAATGATAGGAAGATATTACTTTTAAAAAACAGTATTTTTTAAAAGTATAACAAGGCAACATATAAAAATTAGAATCATGACTTTTCTTTGATTAATTAAAGATTATAATATGATTTAATGTAGTGCAATTTCAGATATTATCTTGTGTTGAATTATATGTAGATGGTAGGCCATGGATCAACATTATACCATAAGGCTCATGGAGTAAGTAAGTTGCTTCCTATATAAATAGATGTTTTTGAATAACCCTGACTCATAGGAACACAATGTTGGACATGTCTATTGTCTGAAGTATATTTGATATACATGACATATGAGAGTTGGTTGTTCTCCCAAAACATCATGTATATCAAGTATACCCCAGATAATAGACAGTGTCTAATATTGTGTTCCTGTAGTGAATAAACCTTGACTTTGGCTAATATTTCACAATAGGTTCATTCTCCTGCGCCGTTTCTTTGCATTGTCGGGTACAGTTTTCTTACTTCGCTGTGTCACAATGCTCATAACTTCGCTCTCTGTACCTGGGACACATCTCCAGTGCAACCCAAGAGTGGTGAAGGATTCAGATGAATGGAAGAAACATGGGGAGCTTTGGGCAAAAATACAGCATGCCTACATAATCTGGAGAGGAGCCGGCATGTCTATCCAAGGGGTGAGAACATGTGGTGACTACATGTTCAGTGGTCACACTGTTGCTCTCACTATGCTCAATTTCTTCATCACTGAATGTGAGTAGCTAACATGAGCGTAAAACTTAAAAAACAAATTGAAATTGAAAATGTTTAAAAACCTTTATATTCTGTGTTAATCTTTATGATACACAAAATAGCCACTGTAAACA